AAGCTCCAGCCTATTCCTTAAATGCTCAAATTCTTCGAAATACTCTTCCACGCTCTTTGTTCCTTGAGTTAACTTCCGGAACTTCTTTTGAAGGTCTCGGTGATAGTAGGTGGGAACATATCTCTTCTTCATAAGCTGCTTCATTTCCCTCCATGTGGTCACTTGAGGAGTATCACTTCTTCTCCTATCACTAACTTCACGATCCCACCAAGACAAAGCGTGATTGGTAAGTTGAGCTACGGCCAAGGCTAGCTTCTTTTGGTCGGTGTACTTGTAATAGGCAAATATGTGCTCCATTCGCTGCTCCCACTCAAGATAAGCTTCTGGATCTACCCTTCCAGCAAAGGTAGGAGCCTTGAGCTTCATATTCATGGAATTAGGCCTTAGACGGTCTTCTTCCTCTTCTTCCATTTCTTGATTATTTCTTTGAGCCCTTCTTCTTCTACGGTTGTTTTGTGGTGGCTCTCCATCACTTGAGTCAGTCTCTTGACCATCATTACGATCAACACCATTCTCTTGTCTTTGGTTGCGGTTTGCTCGAGGTTGCTCGACTTGGACTAACCGTTGTTCCATGGAAGTGAGTTGTCGTTGCATTGTTTGCAGCAGTTGCATCATAGCAGCATTGGGATCACCGGTGTTTTCACCCATCTCACCTGAAAGTATTTAAAAATCAGAGTATCAAATTCTTTGGTAAGAGATAACAAAACAATCGACTTGATCTTCTTACTACCAATCGTATCACAAATCTTATGTGAATGGAAAACCTATGAAACTCAACTTTGAATTTTTAACAAACGTAAATGACCAGTACAAACTAAAGACAAAGTTTAACACAAAATAAATTTCAAAGCAACGATGTTTTTGGTTTTTTTTTTTTTTTTTTTTTTTTTTTTTTGGTTTTTTTTTTTTTTTTGGTTTTAATTATTTGAAAAATAGCAAACGAATTTTAAAAATAATGACATAAATTTTTCTGGATTTTCTAATGATTAAATGAACTAAAACAGCAAGGAAAAAAAAAAAAAAATTTTTTATGGATTTTATAAAATTGAAACAAGAAAATAGACGAAAATTTATTTTTATGGGGTTTTTTATGATGAAATTGAGAAACAGATTTGAAACACTTAGAAAAGAACGAAATAACCTGATAAAATAGGATGGTTTTGAAGCTCTGATACCAAAAATGATATGAGCTTTGGCTAAAAGTCTTGAGCCAAATTAGGGGTGAGTCACTAGCCGGTCTAAGGACCTCTCTAACTAACTCGGATAAGATGGAGATGGAGGATGGATCGACAAGAACCACAATAGATGTGGAAGTCTATTGATACTTCTTAGAACACTCAAGAATTCGGACACACTCACGAATTAGAGAGCAAAAGATTTTGTGAAACACAAACAAGCAATTTTATTAATCAAAGGTGAGAAAAATAAGGACTACAACTCAAGGCATTATATAGCCAGGTTCATAACTTATTCTAAGAGAAAAACACATAAATCCTGCAAGAAAAACAAGGAAAGACATAACACAAAATCAAGAAAATAAAGGAAAGAGACGTTGGTAATAAAAGAGAATATCAAGGGTGCCGATTAAGGTAAGTTTGCTCTCTTGACTTTAAAACATGATTCTTCTTTGGTCTTGGAGTCTTCTGGACGAAATGAGAGCCTTCTTAGATGCCTTCTAGCACCAAAGAACACGTGCTTAAGTGGACTTCAAGTTTGGGGGTGAATAAAGCCCATTTGGCCTCATTGTTTATTAGAGAGTCCACCAGACAGACACTTGCTGTTCGGCCCATATCTGGAGATTTATAGCTGATCTCTGGAAGCTCTTTGGTTCTCTGGAAAGTAGACTCAGAGAGCTTCAATTTGGTATGTAGCTCGTCTCCTGGATCGTCCTGACTCGTTGGTGGTACTTCGTTCAAAACGGCCTTTAGCTGGGAGCTCTCGGATGAGGTTAGGCGAATGGATTCAAACTGATCTAGAGGGATCAGTCCTTCACGTTCCAGCTGTTCCAGGAAGATGTTGAACTTCTTCTCTAGGCCTTTGCTCCTCGTCCTAGTCATTGGGCCGCTTGGTACATAGGGAGCTTGAATAATATGACTTGGTGGTTCGATGTCCTCATCAATATCTATTACGCATGCTAAGATAGACACTAACGTCTCTAATCTTTGCGCAGGTTTACCCAATGTCATCTCATGCTGCTTGCATCGTCCACCTGAAAAGGAACATTGAGGTTTACTTTAAATCTGAGGAGCTAAGTGCATTGGTATCGTGTGCCGCGAGGGCTTATCGCCTAAGTGACTTTAACCGGATTTTTGCTGAAATTAGGGCTAAACATGGGCCGTGCGCTGACTACCTGGCAGGTATTGGGTTTGAGCATTAGACAAGATCCCATTTTGTTGGAAATAGATATAACTTCATGACAAGTAATATTGCGGAGTCGCTAAACAATGTGTTAACCATGGCTCGCGATTACCCGGTAATCTCAATCTTAGAGTCTATCCGCACAACTCTCGTAACATGATTTGCGCTTAGGAGGCAAGCTGCCCAGCTTGAGGACAATATCCTACCGCCAAAGGTGCACGATATGGTAATCGAAAATTACGAGAAAGGCGCATGATGTGCTGTAATAAAGATTGGGGATGTGCTATATGAAGTTAGAGAAAAAGGAGGCGCAGCATTTGCGGTCAATCTATGGGAGAGAACAAGTACGTGTAGGGAGTTTAAGCTGCTAACAATCCCTTGCTCTCATGCCATAGCGGCAGTAATACAAGAAGGAATCAGAGTGGACACGTTAGTTGGAGTCCATCACACCAACCCCTAGCTTAGGTTGTCTTACCAAGCACTAATAATGCCGGTACCCGACACAGAGACACTGACTCCTTCCCCAAATGATGTAGGGGGTGGGAAACTGGCTCCACCATATGTTCGGAGACCGCCTGGCCGCCCAAGGAAACGAAGATTATTTTCAAGAGGCGAGTTCAAGGTAACCACCGTGAACTATATATATGATAAACACTACTAACTTTCTTATATGCTAAGCTTATTAGGTAGTAACATTCTGTTACATTTGTAGAGAACATCAAGGAAAAGATGCTCACGATGCAAGTCATTAGGTCATAACAGGGCAACCTGCAATGGCCCAATAACGGTAATAAATACTTTAACAGTTAGTAAATGAATTATGGAATATTTACTGTATCTCGTTGGAATGCAGGGGCCATAGAGAACGGAAGCAAGGACGTTTTTTGGCGAGTAAAGTGATGGATGGATGTTGTCAGAATTAACAAAGAAATTGGCCTGGCGATGTGAAATAAATAAGGAACTCAAGGGATCAGAAAATTTTTCATTGTATATACGTACGGCTACTGTTTCCTAAATGTAAAATTATCGTATCCCATCCATCTTTAAGGAAGGAATGTTCAATATAATGGCAATGTTTATTAAGTGTTTCAATGATAGAGAAATCTCTATGCCCCAAAGTTAGCTAACCGACAATAATCTCGGATAAGTAAGTTATCGTGATGGAATATTATTTCACAGCAACACTTGGGATAAAAATTGAAAATTACAAAAATTGAGATGTCCTAAAATTGTTAACAAATAACTTAAAATGGGTAACCATGTTAGTCGATATAACTACTAGCAGGTAATTAAAATTACAACGACGATATGTTGAAACATGAGTATTAAGCTGGAAGCCACCTACTCTATGAACTGAGCTGGAAATGAGGTCAACATCGGGTGCAAATGGGAAACAGTTTTCATAGATATTACAGCTAGAAGATAATAAAAAAATACCGATTAAAGCACATGTTGTCCCGATACGATGAAACATGTATATTAAACTGAGAGCCAACTTATGTAAAAACTGAGTTGAAAGTAATCTAAACTACGGGAGAAAAGGGTAACGGTTTAAACCGATATAACAACTAGCAGATAACGAAAATAATAACGCCGATAACACATTTTGACACATTGTGTTAAAAAACTCAAATTACACTGGGGGAGCCAACCTCTATATGAACTGAGCTGTAAGTCAGCTTATGTGCTAGATGATAATAACGTTAGACGATAAAATAAATAACGACTATCTAAAAAGCTAGCCCATTAAACCTTCTATCAGAAATCGCAAAAATTAATCAAACCGACATACACGATCTGATAACGATAGTCTATTATTACCAAGTTAACTTCTTCAATAACAGATAACTATGATAGGAGATAATAAACTACGATGCTACGATAATAAAACGTTCAATTCCAAAGATATTAAGGGAAGAGTTTGGATAAAATCCTAGTTATCTGATATTATTTAACAGCTACAATTGGGATAAAAATTGAAAATTACAAAAAATCGAGATGTCATAAAATTGTTAACAAATAACTTAAAATGGGTAACCAAGTTAGTCGATATAACTACTAGCAGGTAATTAAATATAACAACGACGATATGTTGAAACATGAGTATTAAGCTGGAAGCTACCTACTCTATGAACTGAGCTGGAAATGAGGTCAACATCGGGTGCAAATGGAAAACAGTTTTCATAGATATTACAGCTAGAAGATAATAAAAAAAATACCGATTAAAGCACATGTTGTCCCGATACGATGAAGCATGTATATTAAACTGAGAGCCAACTTATGTAAAAACTAAGTTGAAAGTAATCTAAACTACGGGAGAAAAGGATAACGGTTTAAACCGATATAACAACTAGCAGATAACGAAAATAATAACGCCGATAACACATTTTGACACATTGTGTTAAACAACTCAAATTGTGTACTAGATGATAATAACGTTAGACGATAATAACGATAGACACATTTTGACACATTTTGACACTGGGGGAGCCAACTTCTCTATGAACTGAGCTATAAGACAGCTTGTGTGCTAGACGATAATAACGTTAGACGATAAAATAAATAACGACTATCTAAAAAGCTAGCCCATTAAACCTTCTATCAGAAATCGCAAAAATTAATCAAAACGACATACACGATCTGATAACGATAGTCTATTATTACCAAGTTAACTTCTTCAATAACAGATAACTATGATAGGAGATAATAAACTACGATGCTACGATAATAAAACGTTCAATTCCAAAGATATTAAGGGAAGAGTTTGGATAAAATCCTAGTTAAACACAATAAAGAAGAAGGGGAGACAGGATCCGATGAACATAAACACCACTGAAAAAGGATTTCGATAACATTAGAGTTAGCTAGTAACCGCCAGCGAGAATTAAAGCCGACACTAACTTTTTCACTTCACTTTGAAGGCCGCCAACCTCGAAATCCACGCATTAGACACACCCCCGGTAGCATGAGTATGGATCAGGAATATAGAGAAGATGCCGGTATCAAGGGGTGAAGCAACCTGAGAAATGATAAGAAGACGCTCTATAGAAAATGGATCCTGCAGACAGTTACTCATAAGAGGATTGAAGGCAGCCTGTTTGAAAAGGTATGGCAGCATTACTGTGAGAGGCATAAGCTCATCCTGAATAGCAGAATCTTTGCGGCGTTGGATATTTGAATCCAAGACAATGATCTTCCGGGAGTTAAGATCAACAGCTAAAGCTACCCAATGCTTCTTGTCAAAGTTAAAAGGCAGATACAAGTAATCAGCCTCCGTGAATAACTGGACACGGTCAGATTCCCCAGCACCGGAAAGGAGATCAATTAGAGGCGCTGGGAATTGGAACTCCGTTTTGGACGGGCATCGGGAAAACTTAGGGAATTGACGGCAGAATTGTGAAACTAACTTTGAATCAAGGAATTCAACACGAAGTTTCTCGCCATCAGCATCATCAGTCCTCAACAAATGACGACTAAACTTGATGAGAGCATCCATAACCTAAGGGGATGACAAAAAAAAAAAAAATTGAAATAAAAGGAAATAACCCAATATAAAACTCACTCAATAGAATATATTTTAAAAAAACGGTACCTTGCTTGAAAGATTTTTCTTCCGGTCAATTAAATCCAAAATATCTTTATTAGACAGAGCAACACCACCATAAATGCTAATAGAACTGTTGAGAGAACAAGATTATATGAAAGATTATCGAGAGTGAAATATAATGGTAATCATTGTATAGGCTAAACTAAAAAATATGAGAATAAACAATACCTTATCGCCTTGAGTTTCTTCAGTGAATTTTGGAAGCGTTCCTCAGGGTCAACGCAAACGTTAGCTTGATTGACAACAGGGGATGGATGACCAACTAACAACTTCGTTTTCTTATCATACTGGAATCGACCATCTAGCTTGCTAGAAAGAGTACGGACCCCTGCGTGGGGAGGAAACAACAGAAGGGGCACCCCTGCCAACAGCCTACAAATAATGGGAGTAATAGAAAAGTTAAATGCTAAACAACATATATAATTAAAAAAATATCAGATAAATGACAAGTCAGAGCCCTCAAAATACCAACTAGATCATTAGTTGCTGCCATATCAATAGAAACAGCCTCAGGGATATCAACCGCCTCTCCATCACACACAACCCCACCATCAGAAGGCAGAGCAGCCTTATTCACAAATTTTTTTAAGAAAAAACAGACAACATAAGTACACGACCGGTAATACATTATGACTAAATTTTAAATAGTTATCACACTAACAGGTTCATTGGGAGGTTCACCACTAATCTTCCCATCAATATCAAGCCCACAAACAGATTGAGTGCGAGACTAAGTAAAAATAGACATAGAAAATAAAGAACAGAGAGACATTAAAAAGACTCTTAGTACGTTAACCTTTCATATTTAAATTAAAGTTGGCTAGCGTGGAGGAATACATTGATAAATATAAGTACCTCAATAAATATAAAATTGAAATTTTAAACCACCAAAAAAGTTATAAGTAATTCCAAAAACCAAAATAAATAGATAGTTTAGTGCCTAATAACGTTATCACCCAAAAATTAATCTTTACAAAGAGAGTAGAACAGAAGAGGAAAGAAAAGCCTAAGGAAATGAGAACAATATGGGTTGTAATTTAGCTGCTAACCGAGATATCCGGGATCCCCACAGACGTCTCCTCGCCAACAGTACCATCATCCGACGCAGGGACACCCTGGGCGAGAATTAAAGAATTGAAATGAATCAAGCCAGAAGCAAAAACAGAATTGCAAAAGACAGACATATTCTATCTTGTATTATAAAATAGACCTATTACCTGGCTTTCCTCTACAGCATTAGGCGGGGGGGGGGGGCACAACGGCACCTGTCGGCTAAGAGCATTGAACCTGTCCATTCAAAACAATAACAAATGCTAAGAAACAGGTAACAAGCAAATAACTGCACTAATTAGATAATGACTGCAATAAGTAGATAACAGATAACCTCTTGGTTAACGATCGATTCGTTGGGAGTTATAAATGCTTCATTTACTGAAATATTCTCCACGCGCTAAAGAGAAAAAGAAAAAAAAAACAAAATTAGCAAAAAACAGAGAATTCAAGATGATGATTACGTCGATAAAAGAGAGGGCGATCGTCGCTAAAATATTTTTAATATCTTGCCTCGTTAACAACTCGTTTAGAGGGGAGGTCGTCGTCGATAGAAGGATTGTTAGCAACCTACAAAAAGATTTATCGCAATTATCGTTATCAGGAAAAAAGGAGGAATTTATTTGTTAGAGGTTAATACAATTGTTAGAACATTAAAAACGTAACAACTTGCCTCTGAATTATCTTCACCACCAGCTTGGAGAGTGGGTTCAACAGCGCCTGCAATATTGTCAGCACCCTGCAAAACAAAATAACCACAGTATTTGTTATCAAACAAACTCATTGTTAGCGGCCTAATAAAACATTCACTGTTAGATGTTAATAAAATTAATAGCATGCTAAGAGCGAAACACCTAACCTCAGAATCATCTTCACCAGCAACTTGGGGAGGGGTGGCAACAGCAACTGCAACATTCTTAGCGCCCTGCAAAACAAAATGACTACGGTAATTGTTATCCAACGAAAAAAAAAAACACATTATATGTTTTGATGCTAAGATAACTATTAGCGAACTAATAACATAACAACTAATCTCTTAGGTAACAAAAACCGCCACTATCGTTGCCTACTAGCTTACCTGCGGATCATCGATCAGACCTGGGGAGGGGAGATCTTCATCCATTGGGACAATGTTCTCCGGCTAGAACCAAAAAAAAAAAAAATTTAATTAAACAGTGGGGGGAAACGCAGACCTGGTTAACTAAACTCCATTAATAACAAATTAACAACTATATAGATTAAATCATTTTACTAACAGTTACACCACTAAAACATAACAACTAACCTCTGGGTTATTTTCAACAACAGATTCTGTGGGTGGGACAACATCACCTGTAACATTGTTACCGCCCTACAAAAAAATTAAAAAAATTAGTTAAACAACAATAAAACACCGTCATAGCCTCATTGTATGTTTGATGGTAAAGTAACTGTTAGCATCTAACTAAGGTAACACCAAATATCTGAAATAAATTAGCCAAATACCACCATTGACAACTCGCCCACATTTTACTAATAGTTACCCCACAAAAACCAAAACAACTAACCTCGGGGTTATCTTCAACAACACATTCTGTGGGGGGGACAACATCAGCTGTAACATTGTTAACGCCCTAAAAAAAAATTAACAAACAATGTTATAAAACAAGAAACACACAAAAAGCCTCATTGTATATTTCATGATAAAATAACTGTTAGCATCTAACTAAAATAACACCTAATCTATGAAATAACTTAGCCAAAAACCACCATTGAATACTCGCCCACCTGGGAATTATGGACCACATCGCTTGCAGGGAGAATATCTTCATCCATTGGAAGAGCATTCTCCCGCTAAAAACAAAAAAAGAAAGCCATAGTCAAGAAAATAATCCACCAACCCACAAAAACAGAAATTAATAAGAAAAAAAAAATTAACCCCCGCCTCCTTGCAACCAACACCAGTTGAAACCTTCTCAGAGTAGAAAGATAAAATTCCATCCACAGTGGCCTCGACATTAGAAGTTCCTTCGCGGCTATGAGACCGAGCATGGCCACGGGAGGGGCGAAGAGAATCAAATCCAAAATCATCATTACCACCATTGGAACCCAGGCCATCAGAATTAGAAACACCATCGTCACCATTGTTGGCAGCCTTCTTAGGACGAGTAGACCCACTGACAGGCTCTTTCGAGGTTTCGCCTTCAATAACAGTGTTTTTAGTGAACCAATCAGTCACGGCGGCAATGATTTTTTCCGCCTGACCATCAAGTTTGGCATCCAACAAAAGGGAAATAGACTCCAACGAAGGAACCCCTGAACTCCCGCCTTCCTCAGGGATAGGTCTTTCTTGTCTGCTCCTAACACCACCGTTTTTAGTTAGTTTGGCAGCTTTCCTAGTACGACTACCATTGGATTTATCACCACGCTTTTGTTTTTTTGAAGCTAATTTCAACTGGGATGGGATAACTCCACCAACAAACATGTCATTCTTGAAAATCAGACCCTCACCATAAAACATTAGAATATTATCGACCTTCTCATCTTCCTCATCATTAGACCAAGACAAATCCTCCTCCGGATCCAACACAAAATCAGGACAAATAATGGTATCAACACGAATCTGCAAAACAACCAAGATAATAATATCAGGTGGCGTTAACTTGCTTAAGGGGAAAAGGCGGTAGTGATTAACGACATAATTATCGGTAACTTATACAATATTTACTGATAACAATGTTAGTAAATATTAACAAAGTTAAAGAGATAAGGACATTACCGAGCATTTCTTATCCAACACTTTAGCATTCCCTAGCTTGAAAGGGACAGACTCTCGAGGGGCATCTTCAACATCGACATCGCCGACTTCAGATTCAGACTCAATGATCTCATCAATTACAGGTCCATCTTGAATAGATGGAGCTGCCTGTAAGACAACCAATTGCAGAGCGTATACCAACCCCTGAACGCTAAAACAAGTAATTGCCAATTGTTCAATTTCCCTCTCTTTTATCGACTTAATCATCATCTCAAAAGAGAGACGGCCCCAAGGGTAAGCGAGAAATGCATCCACGTCCTCAACCATTTCGGCATGAGCTTTAACAATCTTAGGATAATGAGAGGTAGGGACAAGAAAACCATCGACGATAGCTAAGCAAGCACATCGGATCCTCATATCGGCATCGGAGATAATCCTTTTCTTCAACATCGTAATAGCCCGGTCTACAGTTACATCTTCTTCAAGGCCAAACAACTTACTGTAAAATGGAATCGTCATCCCCGCAGTGCCTTTCTTCTTTTTCTTCTTCAAACTCGGATACTTTCCACAAGGTAAACCAGTAACAATCTTGAACTCTCTCAAAGAAAAACGAATAGGAATTCCGGCAAATAGCACCCAAATCTCGTTCGGCTTCGCCACCTCCAACTGTCTACCCAATATAAAAATCCCAAAGCTCGCAGACTAGGCGGGTTTGTTAGGAAACTCCAATAGTTGACCGAAAGTAGATCGAGAAAGGAACTGCCGTTCACCATCGTCGAGAGCGTTGAAGATAGCGCAAAGGGTTTTCATCTTCTGATAAACATTAACCCTCTCGCCGCGAGGTTCGTGACCAAACGCTATCAACCGGGGAGGAAGCAGAATCGGAGGCATCGGTTCTGAGAAAAAAAGATAAAATCTAGTTAGACAACAATAAACATGGTGTTGAAAGCAAAATCAAACTGAAAAAAATCGATTTTAATTACAAGAAAAGAGAAGAAGAACAAAACCCAGATCTGAGAGATAACCCCTTGCAAGAAAAACAGAACCAGAGAAAAAGAATGCGAGAGGACAGTTTTGGGGAGTTGTTTCCTTTTTCTTTCAGCCTCAAAACACCGTCTCTCCTCCTCATATATGATGAGAACAAACACGACTGTTCGGAAACTGGGGAAGAAAAAAATTAAAAGAAAGAATTAAATAAACACAACTCCCCAAAACAATATCTCGCAAAATCTTCTCCTACCGTCTGCAATGATACAGCCCTATAATCTAAATACGACTCCTTTGATGCTATAGGGGTACATGCGTCAAAAAAAAATGAACAGAAGCGAGGGAACAGTGTAAAAAGAAGGGAGTTAATTATCGCTTCGTCTATGCATATCCATTGATATTTCTCTTTGTTAAATTAAGTTTATGATTTTTTTTGTTTAGATTTATAGGGTTTAGGGTTAATGATCAAGTGTTAATGTTTTGGATTTAGTGTTTAAGGTTTAGGGTTTATAGTTTAAAATTTATGAATGGTTATTGTTTGAAAAATATGTATTCGATGATTTAAATGACGAGGCACAAATAAGTGATCCTATACGTTACCACAATTGACCATCCACTTACCACTGTACGTGTTTCATTTGTGATTTTTTTATATGTAAACTTGATGGCACGGTTGGCCGGGAATGAGAACATACGTTTGTTCAATTCTTCATGGACATCATGTAGTGGATGGGGCTGATTTGGATGACACATTGTCCAATTCTAGTTGAACATATGTTCGCTTTGGATATCATTAGATATCCATGTATCTTAGTTTGAAAAATATGTGCTTATAAGATGATAGTGTCATAACAATAAGCATACAACATTATCCACATAAGCATCCTATCTCTTATTGAATAATTGTCCGCTAGTCATGCGTTAATATAGTTTGGAATCTTGTTTCTTTAGTTAAAACCCAAAATTATAAACTACACATCGTTGTCCATCGAATAGCAAACAAATGTTTGAATGGGAATGAACGTCTTGGAGTTGTGTTAGTGTCATAACAATAAATATACCACTTTATCTATATATAACCATCCACCATGCTTTGTCCATCTCTTATTGAATAATTGTTTGTTACAATATCATATTTCTCGTAAAGTCTATTTACTTATGTCCATAGTGGTTAGAATTCCAGAGTTAACCTACTTATGTAAATTACCACATTCTGTTGCATTGGATTGTCACGTCAATACAGGTTCATTCTTGAATAAAGAATTCCAGGATAAGGGGTTGACATATCTTTTTCTAATGAGGAAGATGGCGAAAAAGTAACACATTTGATTCAGTTGGTCCATGATGAACATCCTTTTGAGCATAACATTTAGAGAGTTGGTTGATAGTAGGATTTTTACTCTATTAAGTATCAATTCCTAATACACATGCCATTGTAGTATATTAGGTTATCAATCCAATCTCAGTGTGATTGCAAGCATTCAAGATATGAAACAGAAAGCAAATAAGTCAAGCCAATTGTGAAAGAGTTTTGTGTGTTTCTATTGATCCTAAGCAACCAATTAACATGCAAATACCGAATTCAAAAGCATGAGAAAGTAAACTAAACAAAGCAAGTAATGAACTACAGACCAGAAACTATCATGCATAAGCTTGAGAAAGGAAACTAACAACCTAAGAATGCAGTGAATTGTGCTAGACTCCTCAATCCCTTTAACTAGCTAACAAACTCAATCAAGCTATCCCTAGACAATAGATTCAAATACAAATCAATCCACTTTCATGACAGAGATCCTCAAGCTAAATCACTTTCAAACTCAATTCTCATTGATGAAATATAACCTAGCAGGCATTAAGATTCAATCTAATATAGTCAATAAACATTCTAAACATCCAATCTCTTGGGCTAGAGTATGTAAATCTCTGAAATAGTTGGTTCAGACATTTCATCAAACACCTTGTGGGCATGGAAATGTCTGAGATCAACTTCCAATTGATCAGAGAGGAAATAGCACTAAGAACTACTAAATCAGAAGGGAAATCATGCAATACTATACTTAGCTAGCTAAAGAAACAGAGGATTCCACTAACAACCTATCCCATCCTTAAGAACTTTGCAAAACTACTCAAGAACACTCAAGAACACCATAGCTAAAAACCCAGAAAATTGCACAAACCCAGAATTCATTGAAAATCAAGTATGTTATAGATAAGAGAAAGATCTACAACTTTGATGAAGAAACAAAATGCAAATACTCAAAGATTCAATGGCAAAATCGATTACAAAAACTAGGGTTTAGAAAGATTAGCGGAAAAGCCGAAGGGTAAACGGAATATCTCCTGGATATTAGGGTGTACCCCTATTTATAGCAAAATACTAGGTTGTCCTAATTAGCAAAACGACAAAATAGAAAGGCGGCGGAGACCCTACTCGACGTCAGGTCGAGAAGAAAAGTCGAGTGGGTGTGATCTTCAAAGTTGGCTCCTTTCCTATGTCCTACTCGACGTCAAATCGAGTCCAGCACGTCGAGTTCAACTTGTCTTCTTCACATGATCACCAGCTCGACCTCCAGTCGAGTCCATCTGGTCGAGTTCGATTCTGGATCCTCTTGAATGACTTCCTTCCTCCTAACTCGACCCCAAGTCGAGCTCCAACATCGAGCTAGCTCCTCTTCGTTCCATTAAGTCCCAAATAAGCTCCAAAGTACCTGAAACACATCCAATATGCAATATGCTATGCGATGCAATGCAAATCGAGCTAAGTGATGAAAATGGTATGAAAAGGACTATGAATGCAATGAGTTGGAGAGGAATACTAAGCTAAATGCAATAGAAATGTTTGCTAAAAAGAGATAAAATACAGAGATATCACTGGTAAAGATGTTACTGCCAACCAAGAAGAGCCTAGCAAGCCTCTAATGAAAAAACAAGATGCAGAAGATGTCGAAAGTGATGAAGACCAAAATCATATATGTGGTGCGGAATCCAAAAAATCTATAGCTGATGACGGGAGATATGTTTCTGTGATGGCGCTTATAAAAGAGCATCAGACGAGGTTGAAGAACGTTTTCTTAGCTTTCATGATACGAACAAGATAGAAATAAAAAAATATTTTGGTTGTACAATGGCATATCTAAAGAAAGATAATGCTTTAATGATTTAAGATACTGCTTGTGAATGCAAGAACGGTAGGCGTGATGAAGAACCTCAATCTGCTAGAAATATTATTTGTCAAGGCGACGCTCTTAAGAAGAATGTATATAGTTTTGCCTCGTTTAGGTGTGAGTTGTGTACTAGAGTTGTCTACTACCCATTGGTCATCTATTGAAGGTTCTACTTTCTTCCTCATTACTAATCTAAAAAAAAATGAGAAAAGAAACAAAAAGGGAAAAAAGGATTAAACCAAAAGGCATTCTTTTTAAATTCTTGATTGTTTGTCTATCAAAGAACCTATATGAATGCGTGTAAAGATTGTTCGTGATGGATACTCACTCGGTGAGACCGCACACTCTCACTAAACTTAGATAGAGAGATGCAACTGGATATACCGAAAATTTCTATGGATCGCGGAATTCAGAATAAGGAATGTTGATGCTTCTCATGGATAAGTACATGAAGTAAATTCTAGAAATCGAGGCGAGGAAATTGCAAAGAAGATATTACCAAAGATATGTGAGTTTCCGTTTTCGAAAAACCTTTCTCTTTGGAATTTGATATTTAATTGTTCTTGCTTGCATGAGGACAAGCAAAAGTTCAAGTCTAGGGAATATGATAATTTTGTCGGTTTTTAGAGTCAGTTTAGTATCGAGTCTTGGATAGTTTTTGTCGGGAACAAGTTAGTTTTCAATATTTTTCAGTCTTTATAAGTTTCTGGACTTGCTGGAGTCAATAGAAGAGTTTTGGAGAGGAAATGTAACAAAATGCGTCAAGCAAAGAAAACATTGAAGACGAAGACTGACCGGTTACACTAGTGCACCGGTCGGTACCAGAGACGTATGAAACCGATCAGTTATGTCTTTACACTGATCGATTTTGATGGAGGATCGGAATCACACCAATATAAGATCACTTGATTATCAAGAGGATTCCAAGCCAATGCTAAGGGGAAGATGGAATAGAAGATAGAGATGGGGTGAATTGATTGACTCACTAAATCGATGAACAAAACATGAAGTTTGAATCACTCAAACAACTCAATTTGCTGATTCAAAAGAACATAATTGACTCACTCAAATAAGAACTAATGAAAGAAACTCAAAGAATTCGCAACTTTGGTACAGAAAAGAAAAAACAGTTTTTTCTTGATTGAGGACGTCTTTACAATGAAGAAGTTGAGAGCTTACAGTGAGCTCGTACAGGTCACTAGAGCATCGGTCATAAGGTTAAAATGAGCAAAAAATAATAGAAAATAAATTTAAATATAACAAAGGAGGAGCCATTGATTTGTAGCTGTTGGAGTAAATGGCTTGGCCAAATATGGTAAGTGAGTGAACGCCTTATATCTTGAAATCATGATGATATATCCATGTAATAAGAGACTCTGGTTTGTATAGAGTCTTCCCAAATTGTGTTTGTCAAGTTGTAGAAATAGAAAGAGCCGTTGGACTTGAATGCTTGGTGTGAAGTCGTTCAAATAAGGAAGGTGTGACAAAGGTCCTTTTAATTCCCTGGTTGAACATATAGACTTCTTCAAGAGCCTCTAGATGATATGGAGTCTCTCCTGGTCTCCATATAAATGATTGAGAGGTGCCAAATTGGAAAATCTTCAAATAAGGCAAGTCGGGTGAAAACCGGTTTAGAAAATTAATATCTCCCAACCCAAAATTAGTTTTGATATCAATCCAACTCGCCGTGCTCTTCTGATGGATTAAGTTTCCAAAACAAATCGGTTTACAACTTGGTTCTTCCTGGTTAGGTCGGGGTGCTTCTATGAATGATCGTATGTCTCCATTGTGTTCATTGGAGGTCTGCTAGATTGAAGGTTGAATATCTTCTTCGTGTGGAATTATTTTGAACCAATTCCACTTCGAGGCGTTCTCCAATTGAGTTAAGTTTCTAGGAAAAGTTGGTTTGAAACTTAACACCTCTTGGTTTGGTTGATATGCTCCAAGAAAGACACATATGTCTTCGGTATGCCCGGGTTTGTTTTCTACGGGGTTCTTGGTCGGCTGGTTGGTGTCTTCTCCATATCCTTGGTTGATGATGACTTGATGTCCTCATCAAGTTTGGGTTTTGTAAATTTTTATTTTTCAAAATTCTAGAGCTCTGACTCTTTGAATTTTTTTTTTTTTGGCAAACTGGTTTTTATAAATTAGATAAGAATCCTTACAAAGCAGGGCAATTCAAAGAAACAAGAGCTGCCTTAGCCAACATGTCAGCTAATAGGTTAGCCTCACGGGGAATAAAAGAGAAAATGCAGTAAACAAAGGAACGGCAAAGCAAGGCAATATCATGGAGAATTCCTTGTAGCTCATTCATAGCGGTCTTTGTATTAAGCAGAGATGTGAGGACTTGAGAGTCTAAAAAAACACTAATGGAGGTGAATTCTATTCGAGACGCTGCAGTCAGCGCTGCTTTCATTGCTAAAGCTTCAGCAGCTAGAGCAAAGGGTGTATGACGGCGGGATGCCGAGCCCTGATGGATAACTCTATGATCTTGAATCTTGAAAATCCATCCCATACCACAGGAGCCAGAGGACGCGTTCCAGGCCACATCCGTAAAACAGAGCAAGATCTCACAAGGAGGTAACACTTGTGAATAAGCCTCAGTACGAGGTAAAACCAGAGTAGCATCCTCAATAAGAGGTAAGGGTAACAAACCAGCCTCAGTAAGAGGTATATTAGTGATTGTGCGACATAGCACGGGCTGCAACACTGCTTGTGCTGCTTGCCATTCTTTGGCTGCTGTAATGGCCTTAGTAACTGTCTCCTCTTCAGTGATAACCCGGTTTTCAAAGACTAGTAGATTACGTGATTTCCAGAGGTGCCAGAGAGTTCAGTGATAAAGTGAGGTGTGACAGAGACTAGTAAGAGGAAGAGATTGAGTTAACCGAGCCGTTGTTAATAATTGACCTAGAGAAATAGTCATCTCTGTTCGTGGTATGCGGTGGAGAGGAGAAAGGTCCCAAACTCTCTGCGCAAAGGAGCAGTGGAGTAAAATATTTAGCTCTGTTTCCCTCTCACCACATCGCTTACATGACGGATCACACGATATACCGCGAATACTCAGGTTGTTGCCTACTGGGAGAGCTTTGCGTTTTAACTTCCAGAGAAACATCTTCAACTTAGGGGGGATACAAAACTCTTTGTATATAAATCGTTATGTATCTAGCCAAAGAGGCCCAACAATTTTGTGCGATTTTCTAGTTTTTAGGTTGTTCTTCTTTTCATAGTTTTGTTTAAGAGATTTCTCTAAACCCTATGTGAATCCTAATTCAAACCTATGATATCTTCTTCTAATGTGATCATGTGTACATTTTATAATCTTACGAATGTGTATAAAGAGGAAAATATACGTTGAAAATGGAAGTTGCGCGACAAATGATGGCCATTAAAAGTGGTGTTGAATTAATGGATCTATTTTTAGATTTGCAAAGTTTCCTTAGCCAACCAACAAATGATATTATGGTGCTTTATGAATATCATAATAAGGATTTTAATGCTTGTTAGAATTTTCTAAAACAAACTGGAGTTTAGTCTTTAGAAAATATCTTTCATATATAATTATTACGTGTGAGAGTAAGATGATTTTGCAGAAGTAATTCAAGTTCAAGAACAAATCTGAATGCTTTCCATAATTTATTTACATGCTTTTACATAAATTAGGTGATGATTTTGCAACGGTCAGTGTGTTTGTAACACCCCGGTTACAGGAATATGGTGGTGCATGCGGAGATGTTTAAAAGAATTTATTTGGCCACCTATGTCACCAAAGTGCACTTATCTTTTCGGTCAACTGTCCTGAGAGAACACCAAAGTTAAGCGTGCTTGGGCTATAGTAGTTTCAGGATGGGTGACCTTCCGGGAAGTGATTGTCGGAAACGTATGAGTGAGGAAAAAACACGGGGAAAGATCATGTGGTGATTTGTAGGGTCGGTAAACAAGTCTTTAAAGCCTCCCGGACGTATTGGACCGACCGTCGGATAGGTGTGGGCCCATGGACCCGAGAGATGATGTAGGGCCCACTAGTAGGGACTGTCGGGATGCTACAAGGTTATCAGAGCCAAACCCAGATGAGTGTGGAGTCAAGAGGGCTCACACCGTAGGGGGTGACGGTCTTGGTGCGCAATGAGAACGTTGCGATCTGTTAGTGGGGGTGAATTGTAACATCCCGGTTTCAGGAATATGGTGGTGCATGCGGAGAGGTTTAAAAAAATTGATTTGGCCACCTATGTCACCAAAGTGCACTTATCTTTTCGGTCAACTGTCCTGAGAGAACTCCACAGTTCAGCGTGCTTGGGCTGGAGTAGTTTCAGGATGGATGACCTTCCGGGAAGTGATTGTCGGAACCGTGTGAGCGAGGACAAAACACGGGGAAATATCATGTGGTGATTTGTAGGGTCGGTAAACAAGTCTTTAAAGCATCCCGGACGTAGCGAACCGGCCGTCGGACAGGTGTGGGCCCATGGGCCCAAGAGAGAACGTGGGGCCTTCTAGTAGGGACGGTCGGGGCGTTACAGTTTTATTTAAGAGTCAATTAGGTGAATACCAATTTTTTTGAAAAGATATAATACGCTAATAACAGTTCCGTATTTGCAAGACCAGAGAGAGAGAAATAAAAAGATAACCAAAATGCCCCTGGTTTTAATTGAATAAGCGTTTCTTTAAGCCGATAGAGACCCAGGAGACAGAGATCTTACAATTGCCGACGACGACGATTTTTTATGAAATTCAAATTGGGTGGTCATTGAATGCAATCTCATCAGAAAAATTCAACGAGTTTAAAGAATTTAGACAATTAATATTTGGAATTCAACCAATTTAAAAATTTGGAATAATGAAATTTGGAGATTTTGTTGATGAACAAATAAATCAAGAAGAAGGTAAGTGTGGAGGATTAGACCACCATTATCGGTAGATCCAAATGGGTGTTCTAAGGCAAAAGTGTGAACAAATAAATCATAAAAGAAAAAAACGTTAGACTCGTATCTAAAATTGGATTTTTAAAACTGAGTTGGACACCCATACGTGTCGGTCTGCGATAAGTGGGGGACTGTATTAGACGAAACTTTTTTTTTGCTGTCTTTCTCTCTCTCTCTCGGTTCATCGTCTCTCTCGCTCTCTCAAATCGGAAGCAAACAGAGGACATTCCCTTCACGAGAAAAAAAAATTGATTCCACAGTTTATATAATTAACAATCTAACAAGTGTGTGTGTGATCATCAACTAGGGTTTCGTTAGAGATTTTTCGATTTTGGTAAAGAAGATTAGGGAAGAGAAAAATAAAGAAAAGTTTTGGTGGAAAGGAGCATCTGGATTGTCAGCTCGTTCCACAGCTGAAGAAGTCACTCATGGAATCGATGATACTGGTCTCACAGGTATTGTCACAGGTTTGATTTAATTTCTTTCCACAGCTTAATTTCTGGGTTTTGATCTTGCCCATGAACCCAAATTGTTGTTGTATATGTTTAATGGATAAAAGGATTAAACTTTATAGGAATGTTTCAATCAGGCTTGTAAGAACGTATCTTGAAGCAACAAATAAGATTTGGGTAATTATTGATGTATATGTTTTATTCGATTTTAGGAGCATCAAGTGGTATTGGGGAAGAGACTACTCGTGTTCTTGCTCTTCGTGCTGTTCATGTTATAATGGTGGTAAGGAACATAGATTCTGGTAATCAAGTTAGAGAAAATTAGGGTTTGTAGTCAGTTTGGCCAATGGCTCTTGGGCGTAAAAGAGGAGTGAACAAAGCCATGGTGATAGGAGAGCTGAGATTGGGTGATCTCGTTCTTTCTAAAGTTATAGGCTTCCCTGCTTGGCCTGCTAAGTTATGTGTCATGCGCTCTCTCGGCTTCACAACGCTTTGGTTCATGATCATGATTTTTCGTTTTGGTCTTTCAAATATTGTTGTTTGGCTAAGTTTGGCTCTTCATATTGAATAAAGCTCTATTTGATCAATTTTTGTTTGCTCCTTAACTGGTAAAAAAGAACAGAAACTAGAGTGTGAATCCTAAAACAAATGTTGTTGATGATGCGTTGATGCTTGATCTGCAATGTTAGGGTATAGTTACTCGTATAAGATCAATTGGTGATGATGTGATGCAAACATGTTTACATAATTTTCACAACTGCATTTTTCTTGTGAATCGATCCTTTAAGATTTGTTCCCTAGCTGATTTGGGCATCCAAAAGAAGACTTATAACTTTAGGGATAATCTTTTTGACTAGAGAAAGTTTTTAACTTGGTTGATTAGATTAAAGACAATTATGTTTCTCTTATGTTACAATTTGAAAAAAATTGCTACACCAATTTTGAGTTCTGTGGAATTTTAATCTCTTTTTTTTTTCCTTCTCACATGTCGTTGGCCTTATGTCTCTTTTCTCAATCACTCTTTGCAGCTGCTGATGTGTTCTTGTGGATGGATAAAAAACTGTCAGCTGCTGTTCTTGGTGTTGCGACTGCCATTTGGGTTCTGTTCGAGCTAGTTGAGTATCATTTGTTGAGTCTTTTGTGTCACATTTCGATACTCTCTCTTGGAGGCCTCTTTTTGTGGTCAAATGCTCACACATTTATCGACAAGTAAGATTCAGACATTGTATAGTTTGTAACACAAACAACCTAAACACATTTTTAAAAAATTTGAAATTTTTAGATCTTCATTTTTTAGATCCCACCATTGGACTGTCTCAAAATAAAAAACATTCAAAGTGTCTAAATTTTTTATTTTCCATTATTAAAATTATAAATCTTGTTTGGATCCCAAATTTGGATCCAACCATTGAGGGTGCTCTTAGAGAGAGAAAAGAGACATAAATTTTGGTGGATGTAAGAGAAGAGAAGGAAAAAGCATTAGTGAGAGAGGAATATTTCTATCATTTTTAGGGTAAAATATATCAACAATAATTACGATTTTACCATCTATCATTTAAATTAATTTTTTGGTATTATCATATACATTCCAAATACTCTTTACTTATTTTTTCTTTTGGATTATTTTATTTTATTTACTAAAATTTTTTAATTCTATGAGTTCCTGTTACTCTTTATTTCTTTCTACTTTTATTTAAACCTATATAATCTATCACATGCTTGATTGGTCAATATAGATTTGATCCCTAAATACAAATTCGGATTACTATGCACTTGTAATATTTTTATTTGGGTTACAACTTTGCTCGAAATAGGTACTATTATGTTTCGTCAAACATAAGTAAACTTTTTTAATAGGACTTAAATCGAAAAAAGAATGAGTTAACGCTTTGTTCCAATATTTCTTACCACTAAACTATTATAGCTTGATTCTCAACATAAGTATATATTTTTATGTTGATAGAAATATAGATAAATGGGTTATGGAATGTATCCATCTTTTATGGAAGGAGTTCTAAAAAGTTTTTTTCATTTAGAAAAAATTTATTTTACATAATTAGTTAATCATAATATTGATTCGTATTTGAAAAATTGAGTTTTTACACAAGTTTTTTTTTTTAAAAAGGAACTTCTAAAATTCACATCCTCACCACAACCGTATTTGATAGAGAAAAT